TATATAATAAATGTAAAGCTACTTTTAAAAAATGTAAGTCTGTGTGCATTATAGCAATGCTACACTGGATACTGTTGTGGAGTAAAAATACCAAATTCATCAAGATGTGTTGTAATAAGTTTGCTTTCTAGCTGACACTTTACTAACTAGCTGTTAAGTTCGTGCATGCAATTACTAACAAACTGAGTTTCAAGAAATTTCTAGTGAACATCAATTTCAAGTAACGCTATGTTTCCTTTCAGAATAAAAGCCGTCCTCATTCTAGAGGAGAATATAATGTTTACAGTACCTTTCAGAGTCATGAACCTGAGTTTGACTACTTGAAAAGTCTAGAAATTGAGGAAAAAATAAATAAAATTAGGTGGTTGCCGCAACAGAATGCTGCTCATTTCCTGCTGTCTACAAATGGTAAGGACACTTTATTTTTGCAAAAAGAGCTCTTTATACCTCACTTAAGTATTATCATGCCCTTGATCCCTCTGTGGTTTTTGGGGTTGTTTGGGATGTGTTAATCTGTGTAGAATGTCTTGGCTGTGTTGCTCGGGTTCCCGATCTCCCGCAGACGCGCAGAAACGCGGCGGCGCGCCAGGCACGGTCCCGCTCTGCGGCTGCGCCGGCCGCGCCGCCGCTCTGCCCGTTTGGGATCCCGTCCGAAGGGCTTCTCCCTGCGCTAACCGTAGTGGAAGTCTTGACAGTATGGCTGATGCTTCAGAATGAGGATGACCAGGGATTTTCTGATGCTAGATGTCTTTTAAAGATAAGCATTTGTATTTGGAGCACTGCGACTGCAGTTCTCTGGCTTTCCCAGTCCACAGACACGTGCATCTATGCGTCTTTAGAAGAGCCCAAACCTTAAAAGGCAACAGTTGTGTTAAAAATAGTAACTTGATGTGTTTTCTTTGCAGACCTTGTAATTTTTGCATTACGTCTGCATATTCTAAGTTGGAAAGGTAGCGATGCCACCTTTTCTGACCTATTAATATTTTTTCTTCCACTATGGTATCTTTTGTTATTTATGCTACTGGTATAATCAATGCTATGATTATTAGGACTGTTTAACTTTATTGTGCCATGGAGCAGGCTTTAATATGTAAAACTATGCATGGAAATACCTGCTTTTCTTGTCAGAGGAATAGGTGTTGCTCCTAAGAGTTAAGATCACTTTTTCTTATACTTAACATCATTTTCCTACTATGCAAAACTTTAAAAGCAAGAATGACTCCTTTCTATAGTACTCTGAAATCTTTGATCTAATTCATATGAAATTGAAAGCAGTCTTAATCTTAAATAAAAGGAAAGAAACAGAAACTCAACCCTTACATGCTTTAAGAGTAGGTAGATTTTGGAGGAGGTGCTTGTTTCCAGACACCTGCACGTCTTGTTCTTGGTTTCTGTGCTCCCATTGCACTTCTGGAGAGGCTTCCCTTAGACCTGGGCAGAAGCCGCCTTTGGCCAAGGCGTCCCCAGATCATGGCACAGGCTCCCCGCTGCCGCCTGGGCTCTTAGCAGACCCTTGGAACCAGCTTGGATTTCCTTAATTTAAAGTAGTTATAACTAATCCATGTTTTCCTATTTCCCCCTGCCCCGGTATTTCTCCCCTTACTGGAAAGGGGTTAGTAGTCAGTGCGGGACTCGGCAGTGGGTTTCAGTGGTTGGGGAGTGACACCCAGCTTGGGACGGGTAATCGCAGTGTCCGACAGCCTCAGTGCCCTGTTGGGCAGGTGGAGACTTGTGTTTCAGCCCAAACGCTGCCGCAGGAACATGGAATCTACGATTCCCCCTGCGGAGACTTGCAGCGCTTTCCCGTTCCCGCCCCGGGAGTGTGTGTTTGGGCTTCTTAAGGAACCGCCTCTGCCGCTGCCTTAGACCTGCCCTGTGTGTAGGGAGCCCTATATTTTGTATCATATTGTTGCTTAAAGGACTCCAGCAAGGTTCTTTGTGGCAAACAGTGGACACCTAGATGCAGAAATAACACCTACTCTACTGACTTGTTATTTAGTGACTGATTTTAAATTTAATTCATTTCAAGGATGTGAATTTTTGTTGGTTTTAGATAAAACTATTAAATTATGGAAAATAAGTGAAAGGGATAAAAGAGCCGAAGGTTATAATTTAAAAGATGAAGATGGAAGACTTAGGGATCCTTTCAGAATCACAGCGCTACGGGTATGTTTCTGCTCTTTGACATTAATATTTTTTTTTTTTTTTTTTGCATTTACTTCTTTACCTTTGTACTGCCAAAGTTGTCATCTGAAATGTGTAGACTAGAAATGTTATTTTGGTGAGGGACAGGGAAAATGTTTGTAAAATGGAGATAATTATAAGGGCATACCTATTAGTTTGGTTTGGAAAACTTAAGACAGACCTCCAGGGCTATAGTATTTTGTTACTAGCTTTCTAATATGCTTTTCTTGGAATATTTTAGCGTATTTATAATTGATTTGATTGTTTTTCTTTTTTAATTAAAATACTTGGCTACAGACAGCATTACTCCACCTGAGTATATTCCAACTGGCTATAAATAAAGAGATTCCGATTTCTTGAGAGCTGTTAAAAGATCGCAGACTAGAGAGATTCCGGATTAAAATTACAGCCGTTCCAGGTGTTGCCAGTTGACTGCTGTGCTCTGGTCTCGGCTTACAGCAATCTGAATTCATATTTTGTTCCTGAACAGTCCTCAGTTTTGGGGCAGTATTAAGAATAGCAGTGAAGCCTTCAGCCTGCACTTTCTAGATAACGTGAACCTTTGCACCTTGTTACTCTGGCTTAGCTACCCCTGGAGTGTGTGACGTGCTGTAGCCACGTTTATTCTAAAAGGAGTGGTGTTTCAGGAAAAAAAAATATGCTAATTTGTAAATTCTGAAACTCCTTAATGTGTCTAGAAAAATAATAATTTCTCTTTACTTTGCACCATATGAATTATCATCTCTGTCTAAGGGTGGCTTCTGTTCTGTTGTTTGGTCCAAAAGGAAAATGTGCAGATCATTGCAGGATGAGAGGTGCTGGGTGATAAGCCACAATAAATTTATTCCAGCTAAAAGTAGAATGAACTAGCTGCTTTAAAGTATCTAACAGAATAATGGCAGAGCATTTGCCATGTTCTAGTCATCTCTTCTTTGTGGCTGAGACATCAAAAGTGCCCTCCACTGAATGTTGCTGGATGCCTGGGGGACTCGGCCGACAGGATTCGGTTGAGCTAAAGGCTCTTCAACTTGTTCAGAGCTTAAGCACAACCCCTCCGTCAGGATGAAGGCCGGTCCCCAAGGGAGCGTGCCGGGGGGCGTGTGGGGAGCCCTTGCGTTGCGGCCGCGGCCGGCCCGCGCGGGCGCCCCGGCACGGGCAGCCCGCCTGCTGCCGGGAGCAGTTATCCGCTCTGCAGTTAGCTTTTTCCCTTGGGAATAATGTTTAAACGCTTAAGCTGAGTGTCGGGAATCCTGCACCGAAGTGGAGAATTTTTTTTTTTTTAAGAGCTCAGTTCGGGGCATTTGGGAAACTTAATGTTTTTACTGAAGGCTTGGGGTTTGTTTGTTTTTTTTTTTCCTCCACCTTTGTAATGATCTGTGAGGACAGACTTAGTGCTCCAAACTCGGGACCATTTAAAGCATGAACTCCTGAAATGGAATAATGATTTCTACCATAAATGGGAAGTAAACCAGGATCCTCGCTGCTTTCCGAGCTTGTTGCTATTGACATTTCCTGGGATTATACAGTTCATTCTCTCTTTAAAACGAGTATTGAACTGAAGCTTTAGATACACACTTAGGTTTACATGTGAGGTCGTCTTGGGAAAGGGCATCACTGTGGAAGTTATCTTTCTATTCTATATGTGGGAGCCAAGAACTGACTTGGACCTTCAGATTAGAATAGCTAAAACCAAGGAAATTGCTGATAAACTAGATGCAGTACCTTAGACAGCAGTGCAGTGGCTGAAATGATGGAAAAAAGGTACAAATTCGAGTTTGGCTTCTACAATGCTGGCCTTACATAGGAGCAGGCTACCCATCTAGAAACACTGAGGCCATATTCCAGAAGAAATGTGTGAACGTATTTTAAGCACTTGAATATATTTAGGAAGCAGCAAGCAGAGGGGGAAGAAGGCATCAAAAAGGAAGAACCTCCCTCTTAGAAGTTAATCTTCCAAATTTGCAGCCTTTCTAGGAAAGGGCGCTTGGGGTGAGCTGCTCACGCAGCATCCCCCATGAAGAGCGGGGCAGAGGAGAGGGAGCCCTCCCTCGGCGCGGCGGCTGCCCCGTGCGTGGCCTCTGCGTGCGGGGACAGGCCCAGCAGTGCCGCTGCCCTTGCGGCAGAGCAGAGCGCAGCGCTGCTGCTGCCCCTTGGCACTGGGGGGTTTCTCGTGTCCCCGCTGAGCAGGAGCCGAGGGTTAGGAGCCGTCGCGGTCACGCAGGAAGCTTGCCTCAGCGTCGGTAACGGACGGAAGTCGGTCATTACCGTTTGTGATGCAAACGCGCCGGGAGATGGACACGGGGAAGGCGGTCACGGAGCTCTCCGATAGTGACCCTGTGCGCCAGGAGGGTCCTGGGCGCACACAGCGTGGCTCCTGCCTGCGCAGAGAAGCGCTGCGCTCTGCGGGACGGCACGGGCCAGGAGGGCAGGGTGGCCATGGGCCATCCCCAGCTTCGTGTGCTGGTCAGTGCTAGACCTTGACACGGGTCGAGGGCAGTTTGGCAGGTACAGCTTTCTTGCTAACTCTTCCCTTCATAAGCCTCCCTCTAATCCGAGGGCAGGGGAGAAGTGCTCGTTTCAGTACGTGTGTTCCTGGTGGAGGAGGTACAAACTGCTGCGCTTCACAGGTAACTTGCAGAAGTCCGTGTCAGGCCTTTGTGTGGTACAGTGGTAAGGATTAGAAAAATACTTAGAACTAGAGAAAGGAAAAATCCAAATTCTGTTTTTAGCATTTGCCATTAGGTAAAGCATTATGTATTTCTTAACTTGGGTTTTGCAGCTGTGCTTATTATCTTCTGTTGTTTTTGGAAAAATTTACATTCCTGATGGGAAGAAGGGGGGGGGAGGTAGGAAAAGCAGCAGGCTGCATTGGGGATCCATAGAGTGGGTTAGTTTAAGTCTTCTGAAACAAACGCTGCTTTTAAGCCACATTTGACTGTTCTTTTTCATGTTTTAGGTGCCGATATTGAAACCCATGGACCTAATGGTAGAAGCAAGTCCCAGAAGGATATTTGCAAATGCACATACTTACCACATAAACTCTATTTCAGTAAATAGTGATCATGAAACATACCTTTCTGCAGATGACCTAAGAATTAACCTATGGCATTTAGAAATCACAGATAGAAGTTTTAGTATCCTTTTTTTCTTTTTTAATTTGTCCTTTTTGAACCACAGAGCACATGTAAGCTGTATGTTTAACAGAATCACTTGAATTTTACTGATCAGAATAAGTGTTTTACTCCAGATTATTCTAATCTGTGGAGGTTTAATGCAGGGAAAGGAGGCCTTTGGATGCTCTCATTCGTTCATGAGTTTGAGCGTTCTCTCAGTGGGAAACTTGGTAAAAATACAAACTACCTGCAGTATCTAAAAAGAAGCTGAGGACCTTGGGATCATTCTTTATTTATGGAGTTCAGAGTTTGTTTTAAATAAGAGCAGAAAGATGAAAAGTAGATCATGTGTTACTGCAAATTCTATTTTCCAAAGTTTAAGGTCTTTTAGCTATCTAAAAGAAAGAAAAATATATTCTTTGAGTTTTCCATGGCAAATAATATGATTAACAATAGAAAATACTGGAAAATCTTTTATTTTTCCAGTCCTGCAAATCTAAAACTGTATAGTATGTCCTCCATTGGTAAGTTTGCAGTAAAGTAGCAGTTGCAGAAATGCAAACAAAGCATGCTTAAGTTTTTTAAGGCCTTGGGTAAATGGAGAGAGAAGGTATCTTCCTCGTTCAGCAAGAAGGCATTGTAAAAAGGAGGTTCGAGAGGGCGTCTGATATTTCTGCATAAGCTTTAACTCACTGGAGGCTTCTCTGGCGCTGTGGAGGCTAAATTCATTCTAAGAACAATCTCCTCACTCTTTGGGTTTTTTTAATGTTACTACTATGCAAATAAAGAGCTTATAAGAAAAAATATGAATTCTTGGCTCTTTGTGCTTCTGTGGATAGATCTAGCTTATGTTTTGGGATCCATTCTGTAACTCATTATTCTGCTGTTCCTCAGTTATTTCCAGCATGCCTTTAAAAAAAAAAATCTAGATTTTAAAAATTGATTTGTATCAGGTCACTTTTACTTTATGTAAATTGCACATAGTAGAAATCAAGATCTTGCCGTAATTCTGTAAACTGGGTTTGGGTCTATCTTCAATTTATTTTTTTTTATGGCTATGTATTAGAAATGATTTGAACATAAAATGTTGTTTGCCTTTACCCAAGCCTTCCAGATATTGTAGATATTAAGCCTGCTAACATGGAGGAGCTGACAGAAGTGATCACTGCCGCGGAGTTCCACCCTCACCACTGTAACGTGTTTGTCTACAGCAGCAGCAAAGGAACTATTCGACTCTGTGACATGCGTTCTTCGGCTCTCTGTGACAGGCATTCAAAATGTGAGTTAGTATGCACGGCTTTGTTCTGGTTTTTGGTGCAAGATAGACTGTATAGGTATTCTTTTTATAAATAAAAATGCCAAGTTCTGCTTCTTGGTATAGAACTGGTAAAGAATTTACAAGGTAAGGGGTGGTAGTTTTGTAGAATGGAACATTTTAATTGTCTTGTTCTAGGCCATCAGCAAGCAGAAGTGTAGCATGAGACTATTGACCATCTGACTGTGCTCCTGTTTACCCATTTATGCATCATAAACTGATGGGACAAGTGCTTTTGGCACCAGTGAGACCTGTCTTCTGTCCAGACTCAGTCTTGGTGCTTCTCAAAGGTATCTGCTTAACAAATGCCAGTTCAGGGCAGTTTATGCAACTTTGCACGTTAGGAACTGGTCTGAGGCTCCCAGAATAAATCTGATTTGTGCCCATTTGCACCCGCTGGGATGGAATCTGCCCTGAAGGCAGCCCGAGGGTGGGACGGGAGCGTGCTCGCCCCGAGCCCCTGCCCGCCCGTGGGCGAGGAGGGCGCGCAGTGCAGCGCAGCGCGGGGACAGAGCTGCCCTGGCTGCGCGCCGCCTCCTGTCCCCTGCACTGCTGCACTCGCCGTGGCTTCGCGGGGGCGTCGGGCCTGTGGGGCGACCTGCCGTGCTGAGCCTTGCAGGTAAGCGTTCTGCAGCGAGGAGACGAGGCTTGTGTCGCTGCAAAGAATTATCTGTGCACTGCAAGGCATGAATGCTAAGCTGGGTTCACTTCGTTGTTAATTAATCATGATATTTATAGTTAGTTATTAGTGGTAAAACTTCGTTCTTAAATCTTGTTTTAAAATGCTTTTACTGAGTAACTTCTGTTTAAAAGGGTCTGTTTAAAAACAAAGCTAGGCAGCTTGTTTTGGGAAATACTGACTTTGAAGATGGATGCACACATAATACTGTTCTAGCCTCTTCCTAAAATTGTGCCAATTTCTTGTCAGGTGTTGATACTAGTACTTCATTTCAGTTGATTTTACAACTTTGAATGTAAAATATATCACACTCAAAATATATTGCTCGTGCAGTAGTATCTTGCATTGGAGTTGCTGCTGCACTTTCTCACTGCTGTTCAACAGTAGATCAGTGGTGTTTATTGTATCCACGCACCATTTTCTAACTTCTCGTTCATCCCTGAAACCTCTGCACTGTAGCTTGCTGATGCTGTGCTCCGAGAGTGTGTTGGAGCTTGGCATCTAGCAAACTGATGGCTAGGGCCTAACATTGTTCCAAAAGGCTATTTTAGAAGACTGTTTATTTTAAAATAAGGTTGCTGTTAAACTAGGATTACGACTTCGAGTTGTTTCAGTAAATAATTGGATAAATATTGGAAGATGAAGAAGTTGCTGGTGGTTTCATTTGTAACTATCTTTTATCTGCAGTTTTTGAAGAACCTGAAGATCCTAGCAGCAGATCATTTTTTTCAGAAATAATATCGTCGATATCTGATGTGAAATTCAGTCACAGTGGTCGATACATGATGACGAGAGACTACCTTTCAGTTAAAGTGTGGGATCTCAATATGGAAAACAGGCCTGTAGAGACATATCAAGTATGGTGGTCACCTTTTCTTAAATGTTTTTTTCGCCCTTCTTTTTCTTTAAAGCTCTCTAATATCATTTTAAATGTTTCAAAAAGGTTCATGAGTATCTTCGAAGCAAGCTTTGTTCCCTTTATGAAAATGACTGCATCTTTGACAAGTTTGAATGCTGCTGGAACGGTTCTGACAGGTAAGGTATTTAGGGGATTTGGGGTTTGTTTTTTGTCCAGCCCCCTGCCCTCCCCAACTCTGAAACTTTTTATCTAGTTTTGAAGCACAGACAGTCCTCAGCTTTACTGGTTCAGATGTATTGACTTTGCAAGAAGACTTCAGTTGTCAGTCGTCCACCCTCAAGTTACAGGAGTAGAATAAACTTTTGCCTGTGAGTTTATTTCTCACCTGAGTCATCGAAGCTTTAAAGAATCAGGACTTTCTGTTTTAAGCCTTAACCCATGAATGGGGGGCTTGGGTTTTATTTTCAGCAGGGATACAAGAGTGCACGTGCAGTGTGCATTATAGTGCACTAGTTTTAGTATCTTAGCACTGTTTAATACGTTAGATCTTTTTGTGCTTTCTTTAGGCTGAGGAGAACAAAACCAGTTAGATAATTATGTATCCAGAGTAGTGGTAATGCTTGTCTTGCAAATGGTAGGGGCATTGTAAGTGGATAGCAAAACCAGTTTTATTGACCCAAATGAGGTGTGTTTCCTGTCAGTAGATATGGTAAAATCAGGTATTAACTGCTTTTAAAATGCACTTAAAACCCCTGGAAGAGATCATGGCAGATCTGGCTTTCATACTTCATGCTGGCATGTTTGCGAGATACATTCATATTTCAGATTTTTTTTGTAGGAATTATATGTAAAACTGACTCGCCTGTCCCCAGGTAGTTGTGAGCTGTTCAGTGGAAAGGCGTTAGCTTTGGCTCGATGGTAACGGGGTGAGGAGCGGGGGCAGCTTCGGCCTCCCCCGCTGTGCTGAGGAGCGGGGCCCTCGCAAGGAAACGGCCACCGCTGCGGCTATCCGCTGTCCTGGCCAAGGAAAAGAGCGTGTCCACGTCGGGGCAGATCTGGAGAGACAAACCACCGGGAGGGAGGGAGGGAGGGAGGAAAAGGCTGCCGGGATCAGTAAATCGGGAGCAGCCCGTTAACTTGAAAAGATGTCCTTCAGCAGTTAATGGCACTGCTGCTCTTCCATCGAGCAAGTCATTGTGCTGTGTCGCTCCCATTTGAAAATATTTGCAGTATCTAATAGAAAATATATAAAAGATGTGGTACGTGTTCTTCAACTGCTGAAATTGCAGCAAAATGGACCTTTGTTTCTAGAATTGCTTGAAAAAGAAATCTAGTCAACCTTACATTAGAAAGGTGGATGTCATTAAGTTTAGACGTATTGTCCGTTAGGTAACATGTAATAACCCAGTTTGTCATGGCTTGTGATGTTGTCCTCCCTTTGGAAAAGGAAATTCCTCCCCTTGGTGCATTCCCTAGCACAAGCCCAGCAGTGTGTTTTGTGGTGATAGTGTCTCAGTTGGGTCCCAGCCTTGAGGTTTGTGTGGCATTTTTTGTTTTAGTTTAGTTTTCTGTTTGGTTGCTGTTTTTGTTCTATAAATATAAATATATATATATATATAAAAATATATATATATATAACTGCCTTACTCGGAAGATGATAAGGCTGAGGCAGTTGAGACCTTAACAATCAGTGGGGTTTCTGCCTCTTGGAAATGGCTTTTTTAGGTTTCAGGTGGTAGACACAAGTGTTTATGTACAGTGCACACACAAAATGGAAGCCAAAATTTCAAGCAAATTGCTTTGTGAAAGCTACAAGAAAGATGTTCCTTGGGAGTTAGTTTTTGAAAGCATTTTTGGAAGCATTTTTTCCTGCCTGTTTTAGAAGTGTTTTTTCTGCCTTACTCGGAAGTTAGGCTCTGTACATAGCGAGTGGGAAATGTGTGAGGGGCTGCTCCCCAGAGTGGGATTCCCTTTGTGGTTGAGGGAAGCTTCCCCGCGGCAGATCGTGTGTGTGAGCATGGCCAGCGCGTGCCACCAAAGGCAGGGCCTGGCACGGACCCTGTGCGTGAACCCAGCGGCCCCCGAGGCTCCGCGCTCGGAGGGGAGCGTCTCCGGGGCCGGAGCGCCGCGTTCCTGTGGGCACAGGTCCCGCTCCGAGGGGAGCCGGGGCCGGGGCGCTGCCCCGGAGACACGGCTCGAGCGGGCTCCTCTTCTCTCCCTGAACCGCCCCATCATGACTGGCTCCTACAACAACTTCTTCCGAATGTTTGACCGGAACACGCGGCGAGACATCACCCTGGAAGCGTCCCGGGAGAGCAGCAAGCCTCGTGCCATCCTGAAGCCGCGCAAAGTGTGCACGGGTGGCAAAAGAAAGAAGGATGAGATAAGCGTTGACAGTCTGGACTTCAACAAGAAGATTCTGCATACAGCGTGGCATCCCATGGAGAACATCATCGCCGTAGCGGCCACCAATAATTTGTATATATTCCAGGACAAAATTAACTAAAGATGACTTACCTGCAGACAGAGTCGTCGTCTTGCATAGTTAAGCTCAGTTGTTTTCTGTAAAAGAGAAGGCCTTGTTGTCCTGCGAGTGAAGAACATTGATGCACTTACTTCCCTTTAGATAAAGGAGAGAATCTGGCCTGGGTCTTGAGCACGTGGGGCAGTTCTGCCTGCGGGAGGGCAGGGGGAGCGTTGCGGTTTGCTGAGAGAAACCCTCTGGAAGCAGAACTGGTGGACACTGCTCAATAAGGCCAAGACTCAAAGCAAATGTATTTATTTAAGTCTGAGCCTTCCTTTCCAGTTTATAGACCAAAAATTTAACACCCAAGAAGAAAAATTGTCATAAAAATGTAATTTCTATCTCTCGCGCTCTTTCTCTGCTGTAATATTTGGGCCTTTTGAAACATATATTGTGCTTAATGCCTGTAAACATTCCTCCTCTGGCCTGTATCTAGGCTTAGGTGTTTTTACCTTTGAGCACTTAAGTAGGTCTTGAGTTGGGTTCATAGACAGGTTTCCAGGAATATTTACTCACCAACTGTATCTCTAAGCACACCTTCTGGTGTAAACCACTTAATAAAATTACAAGCTATAAAAAGTGTTTTTAAATCTGAAGGTATGTATTCAGTCTTTTTATTTTTTTATTGCATGTACTGAAATTGTGCAGAATAATTCTCATGGGAAGATTTGACAATGTTTGTCCCAAAACACTGATTTTTAGTAGACTAATTGAACTACTTTGTGTAGTATTTCAAAATCTAAATTTAGTTTCCATAAAATTGTCACACAGTTTAAGTTGCACTGTTTTTGTCAAATGCCATCTGCGTACCAAATAGGAGTTTGAAAAGGTTAGTATAAAGATGTGCACAGCCTTAATAGACAGTGATCGCCTTGCACAGAAAGGAAAAAATTAACAATCTCTTCTTTGAAGAGAAAAACTCAGTTTCTGCTGCCTCTCTCAATGGTAGAGACATACCTTATGTGCATTATGTTTTTTTTAAAACCGTTTTAGTGTTTGTCTTGATGTACTTTATTTTAAATTTTTGCATAATATATTGTATTTCACAGTGCAGTTCAAGCCAGCAAAAGAACCCTACTTTGATTAAGCCAAGCAGCAACACAGCTTAATACATTTGAGCCTATTGCAACTTCAGGGGTCCCTGGCCAAGAGGTCGGAAAATACCAAGACTACAAGCTGATGTTTCCTGCCTTTGTTACTCTGTCTTTGTTATTGCTAATTTTTCCTTTTTTTTAAGCCTTAGGTACTTTTTTTAATTTATTTTTTTTTCTTCCTCCAAAGGGGCCTAAAATTCATCAACCTTCTCTATACCCTAGACAGACATAGGTGTAAAGTTGTCCTGAAGTTACTGCAGCACGTTCTAGTAGCATCAAGTAGCTTGATGCGTTAGGCTGAAATGTGCCTGCAGGTTACATGTTCGTCATGGACAGACAGATCCTTGAGGTTGCCAGCAGTGTGGTTTACACTCCAGTTTCAATAAATGAAGGTGTATTATGATTTCTAAATCAGATATGCATATGCAAGAGCAAAATGTCTCTTTTCTACCCTCTCAATTAATGTCCATAGAGTGCCACTCTTGTTCACAGTAAGCTAGTGAGTACAACTAACTTTGAGGTTCTACAAATAAAGTTTAAATTAAAAAGAAAAACTTATACTGTATATTAGTTGTGACACTATTTGCAAATCTTGAAATGTGGAACTTCTGGGTCATTAAAGCATTAGATTTGACCTCGTTCCTAAAATACGTACTAGAGCTAATACAGTGGGATTGTACATACTTGTTCAATTATTTTGACCAAAAAGTTTAATAAATTTTAAATGTTTACCTGGACTTGCTCTGTGTATTCTGACAATTTCTTGTTTTCCCTTTTCTGAGATAATTGGCCAGATGAGCCAAGCTGAAGATCGTTTGTGTTTCCATATAAATGGCCGGGTTTGGAATGGTCGCAGCTCTGACTCGGAAAGCCATCTGGTCCTAGTCGGTGCAAAGAGCAGTGCTGTCTCTTTTTGATCTGTTTTTTCAGCAAATGTAAGTGGAATAAAAGTAAAAAGAGAAAGGACATAAATAGTATATAAAAACCATGATTTGCCTGTACCTCTTTCAATTAAATAGTTTTTGATTCATGAAATTTTCATCATTCATTTTATTTAAATAACAGTTTTGTTAGTTTGACCTGATATAATTAGCACATAAATCCCCTGCTAAGAGAGCAGTGAAATACAGGTAACACAGAGGTATTTGTGAGTGATTTGTAAAAGTTCCCTCAAGTTGAAATAGGCTCGATCTTGTTTTTAAGAGCACACCCTAAGTACTCCAAGTACGTTTACCTGGAGTGTTTTGAACACAAAGTATCCAGCAAATAGTGTGTTTTGTGAGTGAGGGCTCTGTGCCCCAGGCAGCCGCACTGTTGCATTGATGCGCAGCATTTGGCACTACTGCACTAACATCCCTCCCACCCTGGCATGCCGTCAGCTATGGGAAAGGGTGGAAGTGCCTCTCTGCAAACGTTCCTGTAAGTGAGAACTTCCCCCAGAAGCAGCGTGTTACTGGTGGGAAGACGAGCAGCGCAGAGGAAACTTGCCCATAGGAGGATCTGCAGGAGAGATAGCGGAGCCCCTAGCGCACGTCTGTGCCGGGTGCTCGTGTTGGTTAATAGCCTGGTTAATACCCGGGGTTTGTGTGAGCCTCACCACAGTGAGGGGGCCAGAGCACTGGAACAGGCTGCCCAGAGAGGTTGTGGAGTCTGCTTGACGCAGCCCTATGCCACGTGCTCTAGGTGACCCTGCGTGCGCAGGAGGGCTTGGTTGATCTCTAGAGGTGCCTTCCAACCTTCAGCATTCTGTGATTCTGATGCTGAGTGACTCTGGAAAAATAAAAAAGTCCTAAGGCTACACAAGGGTATCTGTAAACATAACCTTACATACCTCTACTGAGGGCTTGATTTTGTAATTACTTTTTCCCCGAGTTCTGGGGCTCGGGGAGCAGGAGCTGTGAGCGCAGAGCCTGTGGAGGGCCCTTGGGCCTGGGGGTGAGGGGAGGCTTCGCTTGGCTGAGCGCTGAGGAGAGGCAGGGTTTGAGCAGCCGTGCTTACAGACGAGCTTCCCGCGGCTGCGGCCACTTCCCCGTGCCTTTGGCCTCCTGGGGGACGGGTCAGCAGCGGCGCTTTGGAGAGGACGGAGCCGTCCGCAGGGTGGGACGAGCTGCGCTTGCCGCCTGCAGCTGCCTCGGACGGTGACAACAGCAGCAGCGTCCCCAGGCAAGGGCTGGTGTCCTCGTACCCACCTGGAGCTCAGGAGCTCAGCTCCGCCTGGCAGGATAGGGTTTCCTGGTGTCCTCGTACCCACCCCGAGCTCAGGAGCTCAGCTCCGCCTGGACGGACGGTGTTTCCTGGTGTCTGAGTCCCCCTGAGGATGCCTCATGGCAGAAGGAGCAGCTGCTCCAGCTCGTGGCCCTCCCACTTTCAAGCAGACGGCACCAGGTGAGGGCGCCTCGGCCTCCCTCCTGGCGGCGTTACCGGACGGTGCCCGCTCGAGAGGGGCTCAGGAGGCTGTGAAACCCCCTGCACAAACTCCAGGCCAAGGCCCCGGTTTGTGCCCTGTCCAAGGGCCTTGGGCTCTCCGTGGCAGCAACGCGCCAGGACCTCTCCCGCACCTGCCCGGGATTTGCAGAGCGGCCGTGAGCAACATTTTCCAATGTGCAAAACGGCTCCTGCGTCACCAGTAAAAGCTGACGTGGGTTTTTTGATCCGCTCACTCCTCCAAATACCTCAGCTGCCGGCTGGGGGTGGTTGTGGGGGTGGTAGCAGCGGGGCTCAAACGGCGCTGGAAGGAGCTCGTCTTCAGCGCTGGGGCTGCCAAGGGGGTGGCGGGAGCTGCTCTTTGCGAATCCTCAACCCCAGCGCGAGGCCGCCCCGCTCACGGCTGCCCCTGCCCTGCCTGCTCCTGCCCCTCGCACCGGAGCCTGGGCGCAGCTCCCAGCAGGCGCGAGTTCTCACAGGCCTGTAGCTGCCCAGACAGCTTGGTGATGGTCGCCGGTCTTGCCAGGTCGCCCTGTGGCAGATGGAGCTGGATAATGTCCAGATAAGGCTGGCGCGGCCGTTCTTTGGGGTAACCAACACTTGTGTGGTAGCACGTGCCGTGGTTACCAACACTCGGCCATCCCAAAGCTCTGGTGACTCCAGCCCCTGCCCTCGGCCGAGCGCTTGTTCTGGGGTGTGTGGAGCGACTCGTGCCCTGCTGTCCCCAGGCCGGCACCAGGGGCCGCGACCTGCCCCACGAGGCAGCGCACAGGGAGCCCGGCCAGCCCCGGTGCCGCCTCCGCTGCCGGCCCGGAGCAGAACGCGGCCTCTGCCGCCCCGTTACGGGGACTTCTGTGAGCGGTGCCTGGGAAAGGCCCCAGCAGCTTCATTCTGCAAAACCTTTGAGCAGCTGCCATGCGCTTTTGTCCCACAGCCCAGCCTCTCCAAAACTTCCTTCCCAAAGCGCTCGATTCCCATTTCCACACCCTCATGGATAGCCCTTAGTGACGGAGGAGCTGTCCCAAACCTGCGGATGCGCTGCTGTTGCCTGCAGAACAAGGCAGTGTCTCCCCGCTGTGCCGTTCTCCACACCATGGTGAGGTGGGCCGGAGCGCTGCGCCCGCGGGCTGGAGCGCCTGGAGCGGAGACGCTGCGGGGAGTCCAAAGGGGAGGGAACGGCGCCGTCCAGGCTGCTTCGGTGCCTGCAAGGAAACCTGGAAACAAAGCCTTCTTTCTTGTGAAATTGTTATATTCTTTCCTCTTCAAAAAATAAAACTCTTCATGCTGTAACTGTGCTGTTAAACTTATGTCATGACTCTGGGGTGTGAGGCTTTGTTTTGTTTTAATCCCCTTCCTTCTTTCAGTCATGTTAAAAATTATACATGGAATGAGTTTGGCTTGGGGCAGCCTAAGAATTTGTTACTATAAACTTCTGCTATGGAAGTGACTCATATGAGGATTTTTAAGTGTTATACAGTGTTGCTTTTTCTGACATGAGTAATAGTCATAGCCACCTTTGGCATGCCATATAAATACAGTGGATAATACATTGACTACTAGATTGTCTGAACGAGGTACTCAGAAGTGGGGGTAAATAACGTGGTTGTGTCTCACACAAGACAAAGCGCTGCAGGGGCCGGGCCCAGCAGCAGCACCTCTGCTTCCTCGCTGCTCCCGCTTCCCCTTCCTTCCAGAGACAGGAAAATTCCAACGCGTAACTACCTCTACAGACCCTACTCACTGTGTACGATCTGAAAATAGAAATACCTATCTCAAAGCTTACTGAAAATTATGCATTGAGTGACTTCTACTCACTGCTTTATTCCCATTTAAGACTTAGCAATCAAAATAGTTTTCTGTAAAAACTTCTTACTGATTTGCAGCCATGCAGATGATAAACTACGGTACCCATGTGAGGACAATAGATGTCATAGAAAGGACCCTGACTAATGCTGTTCTTGGCCATTATTTCTAAATGCCTGGAGAAAAAGAAGGAGAAAAGTCTGAATCCATGAGGAACCTTTTTATTTAAACATATAAAACTTATTTGGCAAACATTCATTTCTTTTCATTAAACAAGATAAAATTATTGAATGAAAATGCATTCTTTAATGCAAACAAATAAGCAAGCAAACCTTTTCAAATCTATACAGCGATGAGGCAAGTTAAGATGCAAAGTTATTATTTTACAGGTAAAAAGACTGAGAAAGCAGTGGTCTGCAGGAAGGAACAACAGAAACTTAGAGGAGTTGGGAGTTAAGTGACAGCCTTTGCCAAGGACACCACCGGATGCTAAGGTTCAGATTTTTAGCTTAGGCTGTTGTGGGTCACATCCTGAACTAATGAAAACTGTGAGAATGTGCTGGTAGGCTGTTTTCTTCAAGCTGATCATGTCTTTTAACATTTCATATCTTGCATAAAATGAAAAAAAGAGCTAAATGAGGTGCCTCAAATGAGATAAAAGCTTTCTCTGAATTACTGTATATATTACATAAGGCCACACATTCCTTGGGGCTAATCCCTTACCGTCATGATTTCATTAGCAGTGAAGAATATTCACACCTATGTAGTACAAAGAAACAGCAGTTTAGGTAAGATGGAGCTGAGAGCTGGGGTTCTGCTTTTGCACAGGGAGCTTTTTAAAGCCGTTCACTACAAAGCTAGGTAGCAGCTGTCAGTCTGTCTGGCCCCGTTCATGAATCGCCCGGTGCGTTACGCCTTCGCTTTAGGATCTCATCCCGCCCTCTTGCTAAGCCAGACACAGAGCGTTTGCAGAACAGATGCGCAGGGATGCCGCAGCCACGGCGAGCGCGGGGCCTCCTTCCGGGAAGCCGCGTCCCCCTTCAGAAGGTGCTGCTGGAAGCTGTGGCCGTGAGGCGCCTCCCTATGTAAACCCTGCGGGTCAAGAGCGCACGGTCAGGGCCATGCACAGCGCACAAGGCTCTCCTCCCGCCGTGCCCCCAGTTATTCCATGGCAGAACGAGCCCTGCTGCGCTCGCCCTCGCTTCCTTCCTCTTTGCCAAACACTGGCAGTCCTAAACATCTCACTTCACTGTCCTCTCCAGGTACATCTTTGTTTCCTCACTTATTTCCCAGCTTGGTACGCTTTTACAACTACCTTCTATTTAAAGGCTTATATTCATTTACTTTCTGCAGAAATCACTATTTTGAAGCACAGCTACTTAAATTGCTTTTACATTAGGCACTTTATGAATAAATTGTTAGCTATTCTGTACTGAATTGTGATGGTGCAGGTGTGCAGTCACGGTGAAAGACACCAGAAAGTAACTGAGTACTTATGTCACAAAGTGTGTGCTCGTTGTGAAAGAAAAGTTCCAGTATGTTTTTGCTCTGTGTCGTGCAGGTACTCATCTTAATTCTGGAAGGGGGTGGCAGTTGAATTTCATGCTGCTCTTACGGTATTATGCAGATGAAACCTCGATCTGCCCAGGCAGATCACCTGCCCTCGTGACCCCCAGTTCTGCATCCTAAGGGGCCGGGGGGAATGGGGCTGTCCCTCCTTCCAGTCTCTGTAGTTGCACAGTCCTCCTGGCTACGCTTTCGTAACCATGTCCATGCCAGCAAAAAAACCAAACAGCAGCAGTGCTCTTTAGAAGCGATTTCTCCTACACCTTGCTCAGCCCTACCAGCCTACCAAACTGTGTATGGAAAGAAAAAGCACAAGAAAATTATAGTTAGGAAACAGTACTGAAAAGCTCAGTGAAAAAATACTGAAAAGCTACTATGTTGCATCCAATCCCAATCTGTACCAAATTTCCAAGAACACAACTATTTTTCATTTGGTGTGTCAAACTAGAATTATCTCTTATGTCTTAAGTAATAAACAATTTCATTTCTTTTCCTAAAGTATAAAAAAATTGCAGAGATTTGCCTGGGCTCCCACTGTGATTTGTGGGTACATAAGAAAATGCCATGCTTACGTACAGGCAAACTCTGTTCTTGACTAAAAAGCATTTCATCTCTTCGCAATGTATTCTGTAGATATTTTTAAAGGAGAAGAACAATCTGAAGCCCTAATCATCCAAGGGAAATCCATTCCTGTTTCCCTTGTGTGTCCCCACCTCTGTATGAGGAATTTTAAAGTGATAATCATTTCTTCCTTGGAAATTTTTTTGAGAATAAAAATCGATCCTCCCATGCAGCTGAATATTATGTGTATATAATTATTGTTCTGAAGTATATAATTACATACATTAAAAACTGTCTTTTGAGAAGTTCTCAACTAGCAAGAAAAGCAGAGAAGAAAAACCTGATACCTCCAGCAATACTATAAGCAGCCAAGTAGGAAACGCTTCCTAAAACACTGGTCATTGCTCTTCTGTGCAGAAGAGTGTAACACTTATCTCTTAGACAAGAAGGAAAGCGTGAGTGGAAACTAGGTCTCAGAGTAAAAAATGCTTCTGTTTTAACTGTAAACTTACCCCAGTCCAATGGCAAGCAAATGGGAAAGTAGCAGAGACGGAAGGAAAACTTTCAAGAATTCTGCTGAAAATATGCCCCCTTTCTTCATTACGCTTGTGTTTCTCATGCTGAGGGTGGCTGCGCGCCTGGGATGTTTAAAGAGGAATTCCCTAGTTTTGAGGAAGAAAACATAAGCAGAGCATTTAGTGAGAGTGCCCCGAAACCACGGGAGGGAAGAGCTGCAGCGAGTTCCCTGGGAACAGCACTCACTTTGGCGGGATGTTCTCAGGCCTGCTGGACCAGTCCCAGATCCAATCCGCGTTCTTCTTCAGGAGCCTTTCGACTTCCCTCCGCCTCTCAAGGAAGTCTTCCTCAGACTAAACCAAAGAAACATTAGCAAACACTACACTGTACTATCACGGCTAGGCGATTGGTCCTGCAAAGGACAAGGAAACCTGGAGGAGAGCTGAGGGCAGCCCAGGGGTACGTGTGACACCGCAGGGGCTTCATTTCAAGGGAGTTCAGTACAGGTAGTGAATGAGCACAGGTTGCAGCTTGTTCCATGTGCTTTACATTGAGCCAAAGCTTGCTGATAAAAATAGTACTTGATTGGGAGATTTAGTTATATGCATACATGTAAGAAGAATGGAAGTAAAACTGCCCAGACAATGCAGACTCTTTTGCTATATTTCTTAATTATTTGATCCCATTGTCTAAATAATGATCTTTAAGTATATGACAGGTTTTCTGATAACATAAAATGTAATAGCGTAACGTAACATAAAAACAATTAATTCACAGTGTATTTAATTACAGCTGATAACTCATTCCATTATATTCCTATAGGAGCTGTTGGAAGAGTTTTAGATGGGAAAGGAAGAAGCTGGTGGACCAAGAATGTTCTGTGTAACTTTGGAGAAGCAAATAAATACTATACAGTATTTATATAGCTTATTTATCCATGCAGTATAATTTAGAAACTCTAATTAAAATTGGGAACCCCACTTGGTTAGATGCTGCTGAGCACAAAGACTTTTCCTCAAGCAAGCTTGCAACGCTGGGAAGAAAACAAACCTACAAACAGAGAGAGCTGGGGAGGAGAGGCAGAAGCCCGAGGAGCGCGCGGCCGCCGCAGCCGCAGCCCCGGGAAGCGGCGCTTGGACGGGCAGGCGCGGAGGTGCCCATCGCCACAAGAGCTGGGGAACCTCAGAGCACAACAACGATTGCTCATGATACTGGCCAGCGGATCGTACTGCGTTATTTATTGGACGTAGAGGCTGCAAAGGAAATATAAACTTGATGCTTGCTATTTGCTAACCTTGCAACAATCACTCACAGCTACAGAATATATTTCAATTTAAAGAAAAAATAATAGTATCTCTTTCATAGAATCATAGAATGCTTAAGGTTGGAAGGGACCTCTAGAGGTCATCGAGTCCAACCCCCCTGCACACGCAGGGTCACCTAGAGCACGTGACACTGGGCAGTCTGTTCCAGTGCTCTGTCACCCTCACTGTTAAAAAAAACTTCCTTAAGTTCCTGTGGAAGTGTACAAGTTCCTTTGTACAGAAACAAGACAGGCAGAGCATTTTATCTAATACAGGAAGTCATCAGAAGAGGGAGATTTATCCAAAGCTATTCTAACACTTCTATCCTCAAAGCGTTAAAAATAAAATTTTAAGTAAAAATTTCAGTGTTAAAGCTAGTACCTAATTATTGTGAAGACTTAAAGAGTCTTCACAGCCTGTTGTAATGCAATAAACTATGTATTTATGAAATATTTAACAGTCACGCTTTTGTCAATGTGTAATTTACTGGTTTTCTTTGCAAATATTTAAATTAAAATTGTACAGAACTAAATTGAAAATAATTGTGAATTTTCAAAGCAGATGTAGAAGTGTCCTGTTAAGTACTAGTTATTAAAATGACCTGGAATCATAAAGCTCCTGCACTGCTTTGAAAACATATTTTATTGTCTGTCATGTTTAAGTGGCTAGAAATTCTTGCTGCTGGTAACTATTTAATTCATAATCCACCTGTGGCAGCAAATTTAAGGCAGGTAGAGTTTCCTCGTGGAAACTACCTCAAGCAGACAAGCACAGGAGGAGGAGGACGCTTCTGCGGGGCAGGTTATCCGCAGAACATTTAATGTTCACGTAGCCATGCGTACACGTCTCTCATGGACAGCTTCTCTGCACAGCCACTAAAATCTGCTTGTCCCGCAATCATTGTAAAACTTGACTCACGTTTGACCTCTTCAGAAGGGAAGAAAAACACCCGTTTCACAGGGCAACCATGATACGGAACAGGACTCAAAAATCAGAGAGAGTTGGATCCTCAGCAAGATGTTGAGTCCTGCTTCTTCAGTTCCAGCCTAGCAATTATCTTCTGACTATCTCTTCTCCTAAATCTACTATAGATTCTAAGGAGGAACGTTTTGATTTAATGCTAGGAAGAGGCACCAGGCTTTATAAACAAATAATAGGTTAAGGTACCTAAACCCCTCTGAAAACCTCAAGTTACATATTAAACAAATAAACAAGCTCATGCAAGCCAGAATCTTAAAAATACCCATAAAGCCTGATTCTGCTGAGCTTATTCGAGGTTACTAAAGTCACCCGCTTGCTTGAGTCTTTGCATTATCCATCTCCTTTATTTTCCAATACTGGTTTTTGAACTACAGTAGTAACAGATTCATTCTCAAAAGTACAGTGAGCTTACCTGAAAGCTGTTCTTTTCTCCACTGCTGTGACTCTCTATTTCCAAAGCTCTGTTACTGTCTTGAGGTGTCTGTGAACGAGGAGGGCTTGATAGAGAAGTAAAAGTAGGAGAGTTTATTATATTTTTCATGATGATATGCTTTATGGGATGAACTAAAAGTTAGTGAGTGAAGCTTGTTAAGTGCAGGCCTCCTGAAGGAGCTATAGTGCCCTGACCTATAATCCCTAAAAGGATCATATTTAGCAATATGATTCATCCATTGTATATGGTTAATCTTTGATTTCCTAACTGGATCTGCCGAGAATCTCACTGCACAGAGCCGGTTTTCAGTAAAGATAGACCAGTGAGATTGTAAATTGGGTACGGCCTGTGTTACTGAATAACACTGGTCAACACCCAGTATAGCCTAAACTTTATTTAAACACAGAAACTACAAGATTCATGGAAAGTACAGTAGGATGCAGAAACTCCATGTTTCATCTGGCTCCTTCAATTCAAAGCCCACTATTAGGCATTCTTTAAATGGGAATTTTTCCTGTCTCCTCCCCTGTGCACGTGTATGCATTTGCACAATCACATACTCAGACGTGTGCATACACCTCTGCATCTGTCTTCGCCTTTTGTTTGCAAATAACAGCTTTGTGGCATAGTGAGCTTGGCATTGTTTTTAATGCAGCATTTGATGCCTACCTGTCACAGTGCGAGCTTTCCCTGGAGCTGCTTCGCCCCGACTCGTGCTGAGCATCCAGGAGTATTTTCTCCATGTCTCCATTGTGAATGGACAGAGAGGCCGGCACCTGCTCCTGGCTGGCGGGCGCCGCGGCGCTGCCGCTCCCGCTGCCGTTGCTGCTGAAGTGGAGCTCTACCCAGGAGCCTGCGTGTCACCATGGAAAACAGAGCCGCAGTAAAGCAAGTGCTGCTACATAAAAGGCATCGAGCACACGAGGCTCCCGGTCCTCCCGTGTGATGTTACGGTGTGACGTCCAGAGCACTGGCACTGATACCTCGGCTAACAAACACGCCGCGTTGCCAAAACATGGGGGTGCATTCGTTAGCAAGCTGGGAAGCCTCGCAGGGCTGAAAAGAAGCTGGTCATACGCTGTGTCTGTTTCTGAAACTACAAATCTTTTAATCCATAAAGATGTGTGTAATTGTTATCATTCGGCACAGGTGCTAACCCAAGAATCTAATCTCAAGGACTGACATACTCTACCAAAGTTCAGTGATTAATTTACTCAAAACATTTTCGATGAGGACTTCAGCCTAACTGTGTTTTGTTTAGCCTCTTCACCAAGCATATTTTTAGGTGTTATTGTTAGGCAAGAGAGGATATGTGGCAATGACTAGATCATGTGTTGCTCTATGCAGTATATTTAACACTGACAGTCACGTGTTGCGTTGTCGTCTTAAAGCGTTCTGAATAACAACCCTGCAGGGCTAGAAGTAACCAACGCACAGAAGAACCCATATCTGCCTTGGCATTTATAAAATTAGCTCACGGATATTATTTAAATGACTATATAAATAGCAATAGAATTTACCTATACAAAAGTTAGCACATGCAAGAGGTAACATACATAGTAGAAGTAGGTACAAGTATCATGCCCATCACAGGACACGCTTCAAAGCTCGAAAGCTTGAATGGAAATACAGCAGTAAACACCAGGAGAAGGAAGGCTGGTGGAATGATCTGAATTTTGTTAACACAGCAGCAGGGCTGTCTAGCACATAAACAGGAAAGGGAGGGAGAGAGATGTCCACATTGGGAATGTTCCCGCTCCAGCGTTGGGAGGAACTGGACTAGAGAAACAGACTAGGGCAGACCTCAAAAAGCAAGTTTAATTCCAAAAAACAAGGAAAAAAGGAGAGAAGCTAATGAGCAGATCTAGCGCAACACAAAACCTTAAAAGCAGAAAGGCACTCTGGTTGTGAATAGATTTAAGGTTTGAAAATACAACTAGAACAGCAAGAATCAAGCTACTCAATTTCCATTAAGAACGTTGATTTTTTTCATCTTCAGAAGACATCACGGTCTTCTGTTTTTTAACGGAAACATTTCCAGGTTACCAACTTCTGACAAAACATTTTTATCTTATTTTTATTTTTCTGACAAACTGATTATCTGTTTGTTGACCTACATCTAGACAAGCTGTTCCCCGCCGCAAACCCAGAGCTGCAGAAGCAGCAGCAAAAGCCCCGATGTTTGTGCGGGGCTCCAGCTGGAGCCCTGGCAGCAGCCCAGCCAACGCGCTGCCTCCGCTCCTGCTCCTCCGCGTCCCGGCAGGCCACGCGCGGCGTTGGGATCATTTCTGAGCAGGCTCGAAGCTATTCTTCCTGCAAAGATGTCTATGACCAGGGGTGCACTTCCCACGTCACTTTGCAACAAGTATCAGCACTACAGCCTTTATTCAGCAAATCCACGTTACCAAACCCTTTCTGGATACAGCACGGTTAAGAAGACATGGAGAAAAGAAACTTTACAACAGAAGGATCACAGAGTACTGCACATTTAACACGCTTCCATTTTCTTCTTTTCTTTCAGACATTCTTGTCACTACAGTTGTGCTACTGTACTGAGCTGCTGTTTATGCTACCACTTAAAGATAGCCTATGCTTTTGTAAAGTCAGAAATATAAACCAGTAGGAGCACAGCTATGTGGCAACGCAAACTAAACACACTGAGTCACGGGGAAGGCCCTCAAGTGAGGGTGACGTTACTGGATGTGCTCGCGTGGCATACGTGCTGTGGGAGTGCACGTTAGCATGAGAAATGACCCCGAGTGACTTCTGCAAACCTTCATTTCTTAGCAGACGGCTTTCAAAAATGGAAAAATAGAAGTCAAAAACAAGCAAACAAAGAGATCCCCTGAAGTCCAAGGAGACAGGCCTGCCTCTGCAAACTGCTAAACCCACCAGCAAACCTCGGTTTAGCAGGCAGCCGCGCAGGGTTTTCCTCCACTGCTGTAAATCCGCTTGCCGAACGCGGGAGCCACGGAGAGCCCCCAGGGCTTCCTTCCAGGCACATCCCTAGGTGTCAAGAGGGGGCTTTTCTCCTGAAAACAGGAACTTCTGCACCACCCCGCACAGATAAATATAAAAATATATATCGGGGGAGAGGTGGGGTGTTGTGTGCACACACTTGGCGGGGACTCTCCCCA